GTCTGGAGTCAAGGGGACAGACGGAGGGGTTAAAAGTAGGTGAGCCCTCGGGGGAACAAAGGGTTACGGAAGGAGAGGAAGGAGGGATGAAAAGAAAAATCACGTTGGATCTTATTGATGTCCTTGAAGAAGTTAGCAGCAGAGAGAACAGTGGATGGGTTTGAAGAGGGAGTCACAAGTGATATACTTCAGTTTGAATCTGCCTGATAAACTCTGTCTGTATATTAGGGTGGGGAGAGGAGGTGTCTGTGCACATGCTAAAAATAAGACCTCGCTTGTGCATTTCAGCCACAGGCCCGTATTGCTTTCGACTGCTGCAGATCCCTCACTTCTGCTTGCATTGCCCTTTTTCTTTTCTGTTCCTCATTTCAAAAACCAGAACAGATGCGTATGAAGTTAATCTTTCTCTCAGCCGGGCCTTTGCTATGCAGCTCAGTTCTCCCATGGAGGTTTGTTCAGAGCTGAACGTCAATCGTTTGGGGTTTTTTTTTTTAATGCTCTTTGGTGCCAGGAACACATTTCATGATCTACTTCTGCTTTCCCTCTCCAACCTGTGAGACTTTTCCCCAAACTCAAACGTGGCTTGAAACATTGGTTGTCCAGCCATATGTTGCTTGGCTTGCCCGTTGGCAGAGAGTTGTTAGTTCAGCTTTCAGGTGAGCCTCTCCAGAAACCTGAACGCAAGATGGAACATAGCTGCAGATTGTGTAATGCCTTCTTTATTTCTTAATCTACTTACGCTTCAGCTCTGCCAGCCTCTGACACAGCCCCAGGCTATGAACAACAGATCAGTGTCTGTAGGACTGCTCAGGAGCCCAGCAGGGCCCAAAGCTGAATTATAAGCCTTCCATTCGATTTAGTCACGGTTCTTATCTAGCGCAGGGCCCAAAGCTGAATTATAAGCCTTCTATTGGATTCAGTCACGGTTCTTATCTAGTGTGCCCCATGCATCTTCAAGCCACGCATCAAACAACAGGAGCAGAAGTGCATACAATGGACTGTCTTGGTTTGGTAGGGGTTCTTCAACATGTGTTGCAAAGTACAGTAGACCCTTGATTTTACAAACACCCGTCTTATGCCTGACCAGGTCTATGAATGATTTTTCCTGAGAGAAAAACAAAATCACATAATGAAAAGAAAATCCTGTCAGCGAACAAGTCAATATCCACTTGCGTTCAGGAAATGGCCTTGCGGTGGTTGGCGGGGTACAAAGAAAGCAAGTCAGTGCTCTGTACTGCAGCTGAGGTACCGCACCGAGCGAGGGTCGTTTTGGGATATTCAATGTTATCAACCCTCAGTCCACACTTAGGTCACGAAACAGGGGGTTTACAGAACTTATGGGAGAGAAGGCAGCTCAAATAAATGTGCCTTGTGTTTGGAGTGGAATAGAGCAAGCGGGAGGTTTGAGGTTTCTTTTCCCCCAGGGGATCTGCGACTGCCCTCTAACGCTGACCTCAGTCTTCATCCTTTCACAGTATTTGCATATCATACTGCTCCTTACATGGCAAAACGGATGCGTGGGCGTCTGCGGGTGGGGGAGTTGCAGCCGTGGTGGCTGTCTGCTCTGGGGGGCTAGGAGCTGACTGTGGTGATCCGTTGCTGTGCCAGGCCCACGTTTCCCCAGCCTCGCGTTTGTGGTTGGACACTGGGCAGCCTGCAGGCGCCAGCCCTGCAGTTCCCCTTTTCCTTTTGACAGTTTTTGCTGTCTCCCTTCAGCTCGTCAGGCCGGATGCTTCGTTCTCTGCAGAAGTCTTGCTGTGAAACTCAGGGAGCACGCTCCTGTCAGGGCTCTCCTCTCTGGAGCACCTCAGTGTAGACTAGGGAGCCTGCTTCCTTCTGGAACAGGGTCTGGGGGGCCAGAGCCAATGGAGGACTCTCCCCACCCCACGGTCCTCTCTTCCCTCTCCCCTTCCCCCATACTCCTGCCAGGGAAATGAGGTTGAGCACAGTGTGCCGGCTTGAGCTGGGTTGAGGTGTGGGAGCACCCATTTTTCCAGGGCCCCCAACTGGCCGGGGTCCCTGGGCACAGTCCCCGTTGGCCCAGAGCCTAATCCACCACAGGCTGAGGGGTTGGTCGGGTTCTGTTGTGCAGCCCCCGGGGAGAGCGGAGGCTCTGGAGGCGAGGGATGGTTCGGTCTGAGGGGCACAGGGCTGCTGCCGAGTGCTTTCCATGGTTACCATGAAGACTAGGAAGTCTGGAGGAAGTGGCCTGCACTTGGCAGCTGGAGGAGCTCAGTTCGGCCCTTGCTCCTCCTATATCCCAGGCCTGGATTTGGCTCAGAGAGAGCAGCCCCTGAAGAGAGTGTTGTCGGGACCAGCGTACTTCCTGAAACACTGAGTTGCCAGGGGTGAGGCAAACAGCTAGAGCTGCGGAGGAGAGGACTGTGCTGGGGGACGTTGGGATGGGGAGGAGGTCCAGGGGTGAGGCAAACAGCTAGAGCTGCGGTGGAGAGGACCGTGCTGGGGGACGATGGGATGGGGAGGAGGCGAAGGACGTAGGCAAGAGATGGAAAGTCCTAGGGTCAGCTGCAGGGCAGGGAGAGCAAGGCAGAGCCCCGGGGGTTGGGGAGAGGATGGGGAAACGCCGAGGGCTGAACAGAAGGCCATTTAGAGGGGATCTAGGAGTGCAGGGGAGGACTTGGGAGCAAGTGGAGTGGGGGAGGGCAGGAGAAAGCTTGAGGAGACCTGGAGAGTGAGGGGGACAGGAGAGAGGCTGGGTGGCAAAGCATCCCCACAGGAAGAGGGGGTGGCAAAGCCTGGCCTTCCTGCGAGGCTCAGTGCTGTTTAATCTCTCAGTTAAATCCGACTGCAAGAAGAAATGGTGTGAATTCCAGGGCTGATCAGCAAGAGGAGCATTAGCCTCTCCCCACTCGTGCCGGGTGCTGTTGCTATTGAGAGCTCATGTGCCCGTGTTCGCAAATCTGTCTTGCTCGTGGTCCGCCCTTGAAGCCAGCCGAACGTGACCTGATGGGAGCTGGAAATCATCTACAACACATTGGCCAGGCGCTGCCATCTGCATCAGGCCCTGCTGGATGTCTGTGCGTGCCCCTGCTCTGCTCCAGGACGAGTGAGAACCAGGAAGGTCAGATCTTGAACAGCATTTGGATTGGTGGCTAAAATCTGGATGGTGACTCCTTTTCGTCCTTGCTTGCTGCCCGTACAGAGCGGTGGAGGATTGTCACTCGCTGCACTGCCACGGGGAGCCGGTGGTTTTGTATTACTCGGTCTCAACCTGGAGGCAAAGTGGTGGGACGGCATGAATAGCGGCTGTAGTCGGGTGGCATTCCTTGGTTCATCGGCAGCTTCAAGCACAGAGAGCTGATTGTTCGGGAGCTTTGCTGCTACAGCCCCCAGACCGTGTTACCTTTGCCGTCTCTAACGCTGTGTTTTCAGACATCGGGGCCAGCCCTGCATCGTCTTTCCATGCTGGGAGCTCCAGCCAAGTACTTCTGTGCTTTTGGCAAAGTTTCAGCCACCAAGAGATTTTCTTCCCAAGTGACCTCGCACACAGTGGTGAGTAAGTGCCTCAAGAAACACGCTGTGCCCACGGTGCCTGGGTCTCCTTCGCCATGCCTCTAACAGGGGCTCTCTCAGCTCTCTTTGTGTAGGGCATGCTGAATAGGTGGCAGCAAAATGAGATCGGTGGCCCCTGCCTTCTTTCTTTGTTCCTGAATAGCAACCCAGCTTCCACAGCGGACACCTCCATAGTATTCACACCATCCAGAGCCAGAGCCTGACGTCACCTTCGTCTTTGTGGGAGCAGTTTAACATTTCCTCCCAAATGCAATCAGACTTCTTGAAAACCGAGAGAAGCTTTTGGAGACCCAGCTGGCAAGCTCAACATTTGTGGTTGCTCCTCAGCAAATCAGGCCACTTGATTTAAATCCTTAACTATAGACCTGAGCTGTGTCTCCACTGGGAACATTTGGTGACAAAAGAGCTGCCAACGTGCAAAAGTCGTCACAGTGAAAAACAGTCCGAGCAGGTTTTCTGCCTCCCATTGTCGACATGTCACGGCCACGTTGCTAGCGCCTGACAGCAAAGCAATGGGGGTGAGCATCCTGCAGTGCAGTGTGGTGGGAAGGCAGAACTGATCCCTGCGCTTCTTGGGACTCTCTGGAAGCTCTCCCTGCTGAGGAATGTCCAAGCAGCACAGCCGTCTCTCCAGCCCTCCCCTGCAGTAGCTGCCTGCCTGCCACTGGGTTCCTAGCAGGGCAGAACAGGAACATTCCAATGACTTGCTCCTTGTTCCCCAAAAGGGGCAGCTCACTCAGCTGTCAGACACTTCCAGGAGCTCTGAAACGGGAGGGGCACATGCCTGCAGGGCAGCAGAGATCACAGGTTTTGTGGGATACTGGCTGAAGCCAGTTCTCTCAATAAAACAAGTGAGGCATTCAAGTGTCAGAATTTTGGCCTTAAAACTTTTAAAATGTCAGTGGTTTGCTGGCACATTTCATTTGAGCCTAACTATGCGTAGTTATGTGAATAAAGGAAGGGATACCAACAGGTACACTTGATAGTGTTCCTCTTGCAATCCAGAACAAAAATGAGGGGAGATTCCTACCAGATACAACCAAAGTATAAAAGTTGCTCTTGCTCCTTCCTCCCACTAAAAAAGAAGGCACGAGAATCAATCCTTTCAGAACTCCCACTCTTACAATCGTCGTTGCTTTGATGCCAAACACGCTTTACAATTAAACAGCAGCACAAGAGAGATCTCTTTCACGTGGCTTCCTGGAGTTGTTGAGGTTGCCGGTTTTGCTGACACGGGCTGGGGTGCGTAGGCGTATCGGTCTGTGCTTGTTCTATGTGAGCTGTTCTGCATGGAAGCCTGTGGTCAGGTGGACAGTGAAAGCTGAGCTGGCTTTCTCTGGACAGGAGTAGCTGGATTTTTTTCCTCTCTCTCTGCTTTGCCTCCACTGAGGAGTAACATTTCCATGGTAGATAGGAACGATCTGCAGCAATGTTGGCCCAGCTCTGTGCTCTGTGGGTTGTTTCAGGCGTCGGAAGGCGTTCCGGTGAAGCACTTCGACAACCTGGACGAACTGATCGAGTTTTACAAGAAGGAGAACATGGGTCTGGTCTGGCACCTCAAATATCCAGTCCAACAGGAAGAGGAGGAGGCAGGAGATGAAGCAGAGGAGGATGTGGGTAAGAAATCCAAGGGAGAGGTGCATGGTCTGGGCCCTGGAATGAATCAGACTCGATGTGTGCTGGAGACGATGGGAGAATTTGCAAGGGTCTGAGGCTGTTACACTGGGACCTAGGGTCTGAGCCGCATTGCTTCCCTGTGAGCACGGCCCCACCAGCACCTCAGAGCAGTGTTAGCCTACCATCTGCTGAAAAACAGTCTGCACCCACTCCAGCCCCTTCGTCCCCCAACACTGTGCCTCTCCCCATGCAACCTAACCCCCTGCACCCCCATTCCTGCACCCATACATCCTCCCAGACCCTGCACCCCTTCCTCCACCCCCTCCTCCAGGTCATAACCCCCTCCCACACCCTGCACCCCCCTCCTCCGGGTCATAACCCCCTCCCAGACCCTGCACCCCAATCCTCAATCCCCTTTCACAACCCAAATCCCTGCACCTCCTCCTGCACTCCTGCCCCAAGTCACAGTCCCCTTCCAGACCCTGCACTCCAGGCCTCTTTCACCCAAGCTCCCTCCCAGACCCCTAACTCCCTCCTGCACCCCAATTTCCTACCCTGAGCTCCCTCCTGCACCCATCCTCCATCCCAAACTCATGGATGAGCGCACTCTGGGATGCGGTTGTGCGACTCGGGTCTGTGCGCTGCAGCGTGGCTGCCAGAGCCATAGGTCTGAGCCAGGGCCAGGATCCCCTCGAGCTCAGGTTCAAGTGCAGTGCAGCTGGGTGAGGCGCTGAGCTGGGCCTGGCACTTGCCTCCTTTGTTGGCATTTCCATCCCCCTGCCCCTGCTGTGTGGGGCTCGAGGGGCCCACTGTCGGGCTCTGTCGCTGGGTTACCCAATGGCCGAGGGTTTTGTCCCGCACTAACGCCAGCATCAAGCAGCGGGTTGTACCGGCCGCCCCTCCCTGCTCCCCGGGAAGGAGCCACAGGAGCTGCCCTTGCTGGTGTCTCGGAGAGGCCCGTGCTCCATCCCGCTTGGGCAGGGTGGAACCACGCGCCGGCCATCACGGATCAGCGCCTGCGGAGGCCTGGGCCCCGGGCGCTAAGGAAGAGCAGTCCCGAGGAGAGGGGAGGGGTCACCGCGCTGCTTGGGGGCGGGTTTGCACCGCCCGGGGGGTTTCCCCTCCGAAAGAGAAGTGAGAGTGAGGTTTCCAGTGCTGGGATCCTAGTGGCTCTCTGGGTTCCACACAGAGCGGACCAGCAGCATCTTGACTCACCATTTCTTCTGTTCGAATAGCCTGACTCATCACAATCTCGACTTTCCACGGGACTGTGTGCCCTCAGAAACTCCCTGCTTACACAGCTCCTGAGCAGGCAGGGTCCCAGGGTTCCCAGCAGGGACTGAACCCAGGGGCCTGAGTCCCCGGCTACTGGGACCCCATGAAAGCCTAGAGCAGGGGTGGGGAACCTCTGGCCCATGAGCTGACTATGGCCTGCAGCATGTCTCTGTGCCGTGGGTTAACACCTCCCTCCCCCAGCATGTCTCTGTGGCCCCCAGGTGCAGGGGAGATCAGGGAAACTCCACATGCTGCCCCGCCCCCAGCACCAGCTCTTCAGCTCCCATTGGCTGGGAATCACAGCCCATGGGAGCTGCGGGGGCGGTACCTAGGGACAGGACATGGTGGCTGCTTCCAAGAGCAGTGCTGGGTCAGGGCAGGCAGGGAGCCTGCATATGCCCTGCTGGGCTGCTGATGGGAACAACCTGAGTTAAGTGCTGCCTAGTGGAACCTGCACCCCAAATCCCCTGCCTCAGGTCAGAACCCCCTCCCACACCCTAACTCCCTCTGAGACCCTGCCTGCACTCGAACCCCGAACCCCTCTCAGAACCTCCTCCCACACTCTAACTCCCTCTGAGACCCTGCCTGCACCTGAACCCCGAACCCCCATCAGAACCCCCTCCCACACCCTAATTTCCTCTGACCTCCCCCCCCCCCGCACTCAACCCCCTGCCCCAGCCTGCGCCCTCCTCCTGCCCTCGGGCCCTCTCATTTCTGGCCTCACCCCAACCCGCTGTGCCTCCCCTGGGGGCTGGAGCCATGAGCACTAGCTCTCCTCACTGTGGGGAAGCCCCAAGCCTCTGCCCCCCTCCAGGGTTGTGCGTGGCCCACAACTGATTTTTTCTGTGGGTCAATGGCCCCTGACAGAAGAAGGGTTCCCCACACGGGCCTAGGGGATTCTCTACATTTCATCGTCTCCCGTCCCTGTGGTGTCGCGGCACCAAGGCGCTGATCTGGAGGCAGCCCCCCTCAGGCACGGCGATGCTCCTTAGCTCTCTCCCTTTGTGAGTCAGGGAGTGCAGAGGAGCTATGGGCCGCTCAGGAACCAGCCCTGCTAAGTACAAGCCAGGGCTGCCTGCACTCCACAGAGACGGGGAGTGTCAGCCACTACAGCCACTTCCCACCAACAGACAGAGCCCTGGGGAACGGAGTGGCACGGCTTGGCCAGAGGGGGCCCAGGCTACAGTGGGGCCTCCCCTGGGGGCTGGAGCCATGAGCACTAGCTCACCCCACTGTGGGGAAGCCCCAAGCCTCTGCCCCCCTCCAGGGTTGTGTGTGTCCCACAACTGATTTTTTCTGTGGGTCAATGGCCCCTGACAGAAGAAGGGTTCCCCACACGGGCCTAGGGGATTCTCTACATTTCATCGTCTCCCGTCCCTGTGGTGTCGCGGCCTCCCCTGGGGGCTGGAGCCATGAGCACTAGCTCACCCCACTGTGGGGAAGCCCCAAGCCTCTGCCCCCCTCCAGGGTTGTGTGTGTCCCACAACTGATTTTTTCTGTGGGTCAATGGCCCCTGACAGAAGAAGGGTTCCCCACACGGGCCTAGGGGATTCTCTACATTTCATCGTCTCCCGTCCCTGTGGTGTCGCGGCACCAAGGCGCTGATCTGGCGGCAGCCCCCCTCAGGCACGGCGATGCTCCTTAGCTCTCTCCCTTTGTGAGTCAGGGAGTGCAGAGGAGCTATGGGCCGCTCAGGAACCAGCCCTGCTAAGTACAAGCCAGGGCTGCCTGCACCACAGGTTAAAGTGGGGAGTGGAGGGAGTTTTCAGCTCCCCATGCCCCTTGTCAAGCGAAGCAGCTCAGGGTACTGTACAGCAGCCCACCCCTACCCACAGACATATCAGTCAGGGGCCGCACACCAGTGAGAAGCGGCAAAAAACCCCAAACCAAACCACAACCAAAACAACCCCCCCACATCCTCACTGACGTGACCCCAACGGTTAAAGTGGGGAGTGGAGGGAGTTTTCAGCTCCCCATGCCCCTTGTCAAGCGAAGCAGCTCAGGGTACTGTACAGCAGCCCACCCCTACCCACAGACATATCAGTCAGGGGCCGCACACCAGTGAGAAGCGGCAAAAAACCCCAAACCAAACCACAACCAAAACAACCCCCCCACATCCTCACTGACGTGACCCCAACGGAGGAGGAGAAAGGCATGCCCCACATTCCCCTCGCACACCAGAGCCTGGGGGGCCGCAGACTAGCAGACGTTGTGTGCCCCACCCCATGGGGCAGCAAGGGGGCTGGAGCACCAGCACGGGCTTCCTAATGCTGGGGGTCCCTGAGCCTTGGGGGGCCAGATCCAGGCAAGCCAGGGGCTGCATCTGGCCCCCGGGCTGAAGGTGCCCCCTCCCTGCTCTAAGGGGGTGTACACACTACAGAGGAAGGTCCAAGCTGCTGCTATCAATCTTCTAGGGTGCAAATTAGCAGTCTAGTTAAAAGGGCTAATTTGAAGTGAGGGACACGCTGGTCGATACCAATGACCCTGCTTTCATGAGGAGTAAGGGACGTCGAAGGGAGCGTGTTCTTCCTTCCACTTCCTGCAGTGTAGACAGCGCCAAAAGCCGAGTTCAGCCGACGGTGTGAGAGGACTTCTCCTTGTTTGTGAATGGGGGCTTGATTTGCAGTTAGCTTTCATGATTATTTCCTTTCTCTGGACAGATCTGCTCGTTTGAGTTGCCTGTTTAGACTCTCCCCACCGTGCTGTGATGGAGATGTAGGGATTCAAACACTAGAGTTTTGACAGTGTAGAAGCTTCTAAGCATGTCAGCGCCCAGCACTTTTTCTGTTAAGACCTAGGGTGGAGAGAACTAAACCCCTTTAACCTGAAGTAGGTTCAGTCACGGTGGCCTGAAGTTAAATCCTTGTGTCTGTCTGCGTGTTTGGCTGAGACATAGCCCCCGTACATCTCCCTCTCCTGCCCAGCTCCTGGGCACTCTCCCACTCCACTGAAGACACATGAACAATAAAGGTAGATAACCATGTGGCAGCACATGCACATTTTCATAGCACTGCGCAAATATGAATCGGTCTTCAGGAAATGTAAGTTAAGTGACTTGACCAAGTCTACTCTGCAAGCCAGTGCCAAAGCCTGGGGTTATTGCTTCTGAGTTCACAGCCCCCAGTTCTACCCACTACATCGCATCATTGAGTTCAGTGGGGACAGGGTTGGGCCTGTATCAATATCAAGGGCTGGTCTGATGACATTCAGATCTTTTCAGCTTGTCAGCTGGAGGCAGTTCATCTGGATGGGTTTTGCACTGACTGCTACTGGGATGCAGACTCAATGGGAGGCAAGAGGCTAAGGCCAGTTGCCAAATTTACTTTGTTTCCCTTCTTTCATGTCAGACCCTGTACCAACCCCACCCGTACTACCTCCCCGACCCCCCCTGCCAGCGCTCCTGACGTGCGAGACCAAAGAAGCCTCTCCTCCGAATGACAACTGCAAGGTGGCAGACATCAACAAACTCTCCCTTTCGGAGACGCTGCTTCAGCGGCTGCAGAACCAGGATACCAGCAGGTGAGCGCTGGCAAGTCACTGCCCCCTCGTCCCCTCAGAAACATGGACAGACAGGCAGTAACCAGCAGGGCCGTCCCTTGGGGGGCACAGGGCCTGGGGCAACCTCCCCCAATGTCCCAGGCATGGGGCCCGGGACAGACCATCAGCTCCACCCCCACCGTGCCCCTTCCCAGCAATGCTCCACCCCCTGAGCCCCCATGCGACATAAGCCGGGGGACTACCAGGGGCCGAGCAGGCTGCTGGGCCGCTCCAGCTCCCACTGCTGTGCTGACTGCAGGGGGAAGTGCAGGTTGACCCCTGCTGCTGCCCCACGCCAGGCCCACCCATAGGATGGCTGAAGACCCCCAAATTGTGGGGTGTGGGGCAGGACAGCTCTGATAACCAGGACAGTAGAATCGACGCCTAGCCCCTCCCTCTGGGGAGCGTGTGGCCACGGTGTCACTGGAATCAGCGCTCTGATGTGGAAGGGGAGAGAGAAGGATGCGGGGCCTGTATCTAATCTCACCTTCTTTGTCCCCCACTGTGACTCCCTGGAGGTCAGAATCGGGACCTTAGTCTCTTAGCCATTAAAGCGACACAGTGGCTGCTCCCTAAGGTCGTGCGCGTGCTCTGGCACGGAAGGAGTGTTCTCCTGAGCGGTAAATCCAGGTTCCTGCCTGCCCCGAGGACAGGTTCCCTGCCATACAGTGTGATAATGTCAGAGAGGCCAGGCTCGTAACCAAGGGTATCAATCGCAGAGATGTTAATAGAGATTATGGGCCAGATCCTTAACATGTGCAAATGGACAAGTCTTGGAGTTAAAAACCCAGGAGACATTGTTTGTGGCCACAGGAAGCTAGTGGGGTGTGCTGCTGGGGGGGCAGGAGGGGGTTGGATGGCCGACTGGCAGGCTAGGCAGGTGGCAGGTGGAGAGAGCTCTGCTTTGATTGGCTGCCCTCGCTGTTCCTTCTGGCTTGTTGGAGAAGAGCAGCCAGTCAGAACTTTCTGCGCTTGCCAAGGCATGAAACAGCCAGGAGACTTCGGCTGCTTCATCCCTCGGCATGGAGAGGTGTCAGTCCCCACCCAGCTGGAGCCTCCAGCCCAGCCCGCAGCTTTCAGTCTCTAGCCAGGCCTTGTCTGAGGCAGACGCTTCAAAGGAGTCAGCCACGGAGACATGAGTGAAGGTCCTGGCTCCCCCAGCACTCCTCGGGTGCCAGCCCCCCCGGCTTTCCCCCACCCCCCAACCTGCCTGACACCTACTGACCCCCTCCACCACAGCAGGCCCTTCTCTCCTGTACCAAAGCAGCATTCGCCCTAGTGCCGTGGGAAACATGCCTCTCCCCCACCATGCAGAAGGAATATTGCCACCGCAGAACAAGGTGTGCGGCACAAGAGCGTGTAGCTGTGACGGTTTCCGCCTCCATCGACACTCAGCGGCCTGCAGGTGGGGGACGGCAGCGGGGAAGCCGGTTCCCTTACCCGCGTCACTCTTTTCCAGTGTTTCTGAGGAACACCTGAAGATCATCCAGGATTATCTGCGAGTTCACATCACCAGCGATATCGAGATAGTGCAGACAGGCTCCGGCAATCTCCCCCAGCTGAAGAAACTACTCACAACGCTCTGCAAAGGGCTCTTCAGGTAACCGGAGGCTCATTGTCAGAGAAGCCAAGGTAATGTCACGGCATGGTCCTCAAAGGCAGGTGCCATTTGTATTGTGAACCCAGATCTCCAGCCCAGTAAAACTGCTTGTCCTTAAAAACGGGTAGCAAGACAGTGGTCTTGTGTCCTGTGGGGTCAAAGGCTAGGAGCCAGATGCTCCGGAGAGGCTGAGATGTTTTACACCTGAGGGCCTAGCCCTGGGCATTAAATCTGCTTGAAAGACACAGCTGCAGCAGGTCAGATTTCCCTGTGGGTAATAATAGAGGGGTGTTTGTTTACACTTTAAGAAACAAAGCCAAAATGCATTCAAGGATTAGCTGACTGGTTTAGGGACGGCCGTAATCGGCACCTCCCGTATTGCTGAGCGGCTCTAAACCCGACTGCGGTGTGAGTTACAGCCGTGAGAACATGGCGAGCCCCTCCTGAAATCAGGGAATGCAGCCCCGGGGGAGTGAGCAGAGAAACAGGCTCCTGCTATAATGGATTCCCCGACTGATCCCTACGAAGCAAAAGCTCAGGTGCCCCTGCTGGTAAGGATCTGATTGCTGCTCCAGCTTCCTCCCTGCTCTGAAACAAACAAGGGATTCAGGTCTCCACTCCCAGGAGACCCGCTGGATGCCTGACCATCCACAGAGAGGCATCCATCCTCCAGGCTGGCTCAGGGGCCCAACATCACCCTTTCCCACACCAGCTCCTTGGCATCTGGGCTCCCATGGAGCAGTCTGGAGGAGTTCTGCCCTCCAGTCACTGGCGCAGAGTTACTACTGATCCACGGAGCTCCGGGTTGGGAATGGAATTCCCAACAGAGCTAGTGGGCAGGGCAGGGGACAGATCTGCAGCTGGTGTAAATGGGTGTGGACCAACTGAAGTGTCTGGAGTTATTCCAGTGACCCCGGCTGAGGATTTGGCTCAGTGTGATTTTCCAGGGAGGTCTGGAAGGGCTGGGTATGATGCTGCACAACCTACACTTCCTTTTCTGTGCCCCCTCAGCTGGGTTTCAGTTCTCTCCGACCATGGCGGGGAAGGTCCCATGTGCTCAGTATTAGCAGTCCCTGGAAAATGGGCCAGCAATCATGCCTGAGTCTTTTCCGTCGCTAGCCTGTCTCAGACGGGGCCATGCTGTTATTTCAAAGAAGGCCAGGCGCTATGGGGTGCAGGCTGGCGCTTCCCAGAAGGGAGCTCTCATGCACCTCGGCTCTGTGCTTATTGGGGTTTTTATACCCCTCGTCATTCTTAAAGGGAATTAGAAAGTCTTCAGAAAGAAACCCTACCCATATCACATTTTCTCAAGCCTCAAGGCTGCTCTTCAGCATCCCTTTCAATTCTGCAGTGAGACATCCCAGAAAATCTTGTGCCTGCCTCAAATATAACAGAGCCAAATTCTCTACTGGTGAAAGTCAATTGATGTAAGAGGAGTTGCACCCACAGACAAGTAGCCCCACCTTCCTCCCCTTCTTTAGCAGCATATATTTATGGATTAAGCCATTGTTATCCTGGGAACTAATGACATCTAGATAACATTGGTCTAACTTGGCAGATTTTCAAAGCCCTGTGCAATAGGTGAGAAATTCTTTTCATGGGCAATACTTCACAGCACGGAGATGGCTAATTATACGCATAATTGCCCCATTTGCAGATGCAGTTTCCATATGGAAATGCTGGATTCTTTCTTATGGAGGGGGCCTAATCCAAAATCTAATGACGTCAATAGAAAAACTCCCACTGATTTCAATGGGCTTTGGATGATGTTCTGGTCACGTACACGGTTTGTGTTGTTCAAATAATGAGAGGCTTTCAAAACCAGCTCATTGCTGTTTGAAAAAGGAATCGATTTGATACCTCCCATCCAATTCCTTCTCCCTCCTGCACTTTCCTGCCAAAATTGGTACCAGTAATCTTGGTATCTTTTCATTTTGGTGGATTTGCCGTCTCAATTCTCCTGTGAATGCCTAATAACTTTAGGCTATTTCTCCTGCCTTTCTCTTCCAGATCAATCAGCTTTCTCTAAATACATCTCTCTCCTGTAGATCAGATTTTCTTAGGAGTGGGTGCACTACAGCCATAAAGCCTAGCACTCCCCCGTACCGTAATTAACTCATTTTCAGTTACCTGGACACTTAGTTGCTTTATGTGGCTCCCTTAATCTCTGTAGTAACTTGCAGCTTCTCAAGCTGCTGCAAATTTAATGTATTCAGTGGAATTACTTAATTTTAGGATTCGTTCGCCTCATCTTCCTTCCCAGTGGCACTGAGGGATTCAGCCTGAAATCTGCAGCTTGTTCTCAGGCTGCTTCTCAGACATCTGTGTTTTCCCTTTCTTAACTGGATTTGGGACCTTTTCTTGTTTTCACAAAGCCTGAGGGGAGGGGGAAATTGCCAGTCACTGACTGCATCGGCACTTGTGCCCCATCTTTGGCAGCCTGACGTCCCTCCCCAGCCCGGGATGCGGGAGGCGATATCTTTGACTGGAACAGCTTTGCTAGTGGAAGAGGCAAGCTTTGGAGTTGGCATGGCTCTGCTCAGGTGACCCAAAGGGGAGTTCTTTGTAAGCCCAAAGGCTTATCTCTTACACCAGCCCCAGTTGGTCAGGTAAAAGATATCACCTCCCCCACCTTGTCTCGCTAATGTCATGGACCAACATAGCGACAGCAACCCTGCACATAGCCCCGGTGAGAGCCGTTGTCAGACCCCACGTGCCCTGCAGTTGGTGTAAAGGCTGAGAACTTGTCTTTCATGTCCACTAGCTGACAGCTGCCTGTCCTGGCACATGCTGTGGGTAAACTGTGACGGCAAATGTTAGCACAAAGGAAAGGGAAAGGGGCGTTTTCTGGAACTGTGTGTCTGTCATTACGGTGGGGAGGAGGGGAGGAGACGGTTGCTCACAGCTCCATGATGGGCAGAGCTGGGCTAGCTGTTCTGCGTTTTCTGGAACTGTGTGTCTGTCATGACGGTGGGGAGGAGGGGAGGAGATGGTTGCTCACAGCTCTGTGATGGGCAGAGCTGGGCTAGCTGTTCCCTGAGGAGGAGCAGGGAAGAGCTTCAGGGTACCTTTTGGGCCCCCAATTCCTCTGCTGCTCCACAAAGGGGAAGCCCCTGGCACGAATAAGAGCAGCCTGAAGGTGGTTTTTAGCTGCACCAATTGCTACTGGCCTCCAGGGTCTCCAGGCTGTGAGAGTGCCTAGACCTGGTTCTCTACCTCCGGAGCTTGGGAGGGGCTGTATAAGCAGGGGCAGGGAGGTGGCTGAACTTCTCCCAGAGATTTCCCTAGTCAGGGGGAGTCCTCGCTTTAGGGGGACTTGTAGGTAATGTTTGCGCCAGCCCAGCCACGGAGCTTCCTGTCGATGCGCGGGGAGATGTTCCTCCTTCAGAATTCCTGAGAGGGCCTGGGGGGACAAATATCACTGGCTGTATGACGGGTGAGCCGTGCAGCCTGCGGCTGTTTCAGGCAGTCACTCCATAATCCACCACATGGCCAGCTGTTCCTGCTCTCTGGTTGCATGACTCCCCCATGGACCACTTACGATGGCCACTCCGACACTTCTGGCACCACTTCTTATGCAAATACAGATGGACACACGTGCTCCTGGCACTTCCTGTACAAAGTTCTCATGAATAACCCTTTACTCACACAGCTGTTCAAAGGAAGAAAGTAAAAGAGGTGTGAATGCAATTAAAAACCACCTTGTGGTTTGGCTGAGCACAGATGCCAGTAAATACCTTGCTGCATTCCTCCCCCGGTGCTACAGCAACCTAGGCTTTATGCTAAAGAGCCTCAGAATGGGCCATCCTCCGGTAAGAAAGGACCAAGTGGCAGGTTTTCTGTGGTTGCTGCTGTTAAGAACTGCCTGGCCTGTGCTGCGCATCCCGTCACAGTAGAGCTATTGTCATCGTTTCCAGTCAGCTTGTCTGGTAGAACTTTCCTTGGTGCTTCCAATCCCACCTCTTTGCTCACAGGGCCTGGACCAGAGTCCACTGACATTCACGGGAGACTTTGGGAGGTTAGGAGAACAGAAAAGTTCGAGGCAGAACAGTTTTGTGGCGCAGAACTGAGAGCCTAGGACAGGGGTCTCCAGCCTTTTTAAGCACAAGGTCACTTTTTGAATTTGTCAATCCAGGATCTACTACCTCAAACCCAAATACCCCTGCCCCGCCCCTTCGCCGAGGCCCCGCCCTCCTCACTCCGTGACGATAGGGTACAGAAGAGGAGGACATCAGCACCTCCCTGCCTCTGTCTCCCCAACCCTGCACAACAAGCAGGAGGCTCCCAGGGTACAGCTGTGGGCAGGAGCAGCAGAGCAGTGTGGGGAGGGGAAGCTGAAGAGCTGGCACTTGACAGCCTCCCAGCCAAACCAGTCAGGATCCCTTGTCAGAGGCTCCAGGATCTACCAGTAGATCCTGATCTACTGGTTGGTGACCGCTGACCTAGGAGGGCTGGACTCCCAGTTCCACCACAGATTTCCTGCATGACCCTGGCAAGTCTCTTCGTCTGAAATGTCAAGTTTGGGGGGGTCTACCTTAGGCACCTAAATTAGTAGCTAGGTTTTCAGAGACTGCAGGGCCCCACCATCACGCCTTGCCCAGAGAACCAGATGGAAAAACTGGTGCATTGGTACCTATGAAAGTGAGGGAACTTGTTAGTCCTGGTCACTGATTAGGGACAATGCTGCATTGTTCTCCAGGTTCACCTGGACCTGCAGGACCGACTGCTCTTGTAGTGCTAAGTCTGGTCAGTAGCAGAGTCTCCTTTGGGCCAAATTCATATCATGGGGTATGTCTACACTGCCACCCTAGTTCGAACTAGGGTGGCTAATGTAGGCATTCAAAGTTGCAAATATCCCGGGCTTCATTTGCATCTTGCCGGGCGCCGCCATTTTTAAATCCCCCTTAGTGCGGACTCCGTGCCCGCGGCTACACGCGACATGGAGTAGGTAGTTCGAATTAGGCTCTCTAATTCAAACTACCGTTACTCCTCGTGGAACGAGGTGTACCAGTAGTTTGAATTAGAGAGTCTAATTCGAACTACCTACTCGCGTGTAGCCATGGGCACGGAGTCCGCACTAAGGGGGATTTTAAAATGGCGGCGCCCGGCAAGATGCAAATGAAGCCCGGGATATTTAAATCCCGGGCTTCATTTGCAACTTCAAATGCCTACATTAGCCACCCTAGTTCGAACTAGGGTGGCAGTGTAGACATACCCATGGTTTTGTGGTGGGCAAGCGTTCTCAGGGACCACAGCTGAGCTCACTAACTTAATTTCATTCACACCCCCTGCTCTGAATTCAGGAGATTAAAAGCAGGTTCATGTCCCCTCCCCCCCAGTTCCACTTGTCCCCTTAGTGCGTTTGTTGCAAAATAGATGGTTGGATTTGCTCCTTCACTGGTGGGACAGTGCTGCCTCTGTTTCCAGAGTCCTGCTGTTGCTCGTGCATTGGTCGACAATCTCACCCTGCTGCCCTGTGCTGGTCTTGCAGGGTTGGCACTGACCTCACAGGGCACGGGTACCAAGCAGTCAGAGGTGTGACGACTGCGGCTCCGGTTGGGATACCCACACTAGCTTTAGTCCATAAATAGCAGCACTGGCAAGGGCTTCAGCATGGGCTGGGGCAGCTTGCTGAGGACCTCGGGGGTATATTCACATTGATGCCTGGGCCACTACAGCCTCAGGGCTATTTTTAGCTGCACTAGCTGGATTCAAGCTTGCATGATTCTCTCTTCCCATGCCTCAGACATGCGCCTAAACCCCGCCTTGACTCCAGGCATGAGGGACGGGTTTTGTACTGATTTATTTGGACAGCTTTAGCCTCTTTTTGTTGCCCCACGTGACCCAGGTCCCCCCCCCCAATCCTGTAATGACCTTTGACGTGTCTTTGTGTTCTCAGCGAGGCTTCTCGGGCACTCCCGTCCCTGGAGTCCCTCCAGAAGGTGTTTGACCAGCAGCTGCCCCCTGGTATCCATCAGCGTCCTCAAGTAAGCTCTGGGGAAAGGCAGCCCAGGAGGAGTGATAGTGTCTGTCAGGCTCAGACGTGGGGCAGGGAGGCTTTTGGTGCTTGGGACGCCACAAGGGTTGTGAATTTAGCTGCTCAGTTAACACTTTTGTTCTCTTTGGGCTGCTTCTGGCTGCAGAGCACCAGGCACACAGTGAGTTAGCCACAGATTCAGCTAACTCGTAGTCTCCTCCGCCCTCTCCCATCCCTGGTCCCGAATCTCCAACCCCCTCAGCCTGTCACCCCGGATTGCGGATTTGCCCTTCCATCAGCTTCACTCCTCCGGATGGGCAGTGTCGTTTTGTGACTCATCCTTCCCTCCTTCCACCTCACACCTGCATCCAGCCACTTCCGTGCCGCATGCCAGAAAACCAGAAGTCCAAGCTGCATGTTCAACCCACGGCCCAGTAACACAGATCTGTCTTTCTGTCACCAACCCCCCAACTCCTCCACATGCCCAGCCTCCTCTGGCCCGTGCACCAAGTTTGCAAGTGTCTCCTCCCACCAGTCCAGCTCTCCTGCCTGTTCAGTCCCATTCTGTGCTGAGGTGCATCATTAGACTGGGGTGGCGTGAAACTCGTTGCTGCTAGCTGGTGTGACAGGCAGGGCTGTGAACTCTGAGCTTTTCCGGGCCTGGGACTCACAGTTCTCTCTCTTTCTTCTTTTTTAATGCTGTTGTTACCAGTTGCTTGGGGAAGCCAGTCCAGCCAATGTTGTGCAGAAGCTCAATCAGCTGATCTTTTTGCTGTCCTCGGTTGAAGAAAAGGTAGAGACGTATAACTATCTCGTGTGCCCTCTTCATCTGCTTCTGGCTTTGTTTATGCGCCGTTCATCAGCGGTGAAACCCACCTCTCCGATGAGAATTCTCCTGCAATGCCGTTATTACTCCCTTCTCTGGTCCCCTTCCAGTGACGTGGGGAGTCACCAAACACACATGACTTTTTGCAGGTGAAAACACTGTTGATCGAAGGACCCGATTCAACGCATCGGCGTTCTCTCATCCCGCCTGTAACCTTTGAGGTAAATGGACTTTGTCAGCAATGCGCAGAGTACTACAGAAGAACACAGCGAATGTAGGGATGTCTCAGCATGTTACATTTCTGGATACTGTCCTCTATTCGAGTAAAGACTCGAAGATTTACCCAGCGTTGCTCAGGTCCTACAGGGATGGGGGTACAGGGAGTGCAGGAGTCAGGGCAGGGGCTTGGGGATGTGGGGGCCTCAGGGCAGGAGGCTAGCGGTGTAAGGGGTCACAGGAGTCAGGGTTGGGGTGAGGAGGGGCTCAGGGTAGGAGCTGGGGATATGGGGGGTTTAGGAGGGAGGACTGGGGGTGAAGAGGGACTCAGGCCAGGGTTTGGGAGGTGCAGGAATCAGAGCAGGGAATGTGGGGCTCAGGGCAGAGGATGGGGGTGCAGGAGTCAGGGCAGGGAGTTGGGAGGTGTTGGGGGCTCAGCCAGGGGGTGGAAGGCTCAGAGCAGGTGTGGGGTCTCAAGGAAAGGGGGTAGCCAGCAGCACACCCTGAGGCCAGCATGGGGCATTGGGGGCTGCACAGCCGAGCTGCTGGCTGCTCCCCAGGGCCGGCCTGAGCTGCAGGGGCCGCATGGCTCGCTGGTGGCTGCTCACTGGGGCCAAGCGGTGGTGGCGCAGGCAACGCTGGACAGGGGTCATTCTGGGGTATAACTGTCCCTGCTATCACAGCCCTCCCTTTCCATCTGATGAGAAACAATCCCATTCCAGACACATCCCATTGTGCAGGCTCAACCAAACCCTGAGCTTGCTTTCATTTATGATATGAGGAAGCTACCTACCAAATGTGCTGGTCCTGGCTCTTACTGTTTGGGAGGAGTTCTTGGACAAACAGACTCACAGATGGGTGGACAGACACACAGACAGACGGCTGCACAAACGCTCTCCAATATATAGCAGACAATACAGTTAGATCTCAATGCCTGTAGACCCCTGATGCTCTAGGTACCCTAGCAGGGGACATGTCTTCAAGCTCTCTGTTCAGAGTGATGTGATGGAGTCAGGCCAGGCAGCTGTTCCTCTGTTTGTGGATTTAGATATTGCTTTTCCTGTACAAGTGACGGAGGTTTAGAAAAATGACTTATGCAAAAACTTGCCCTTCTTCAATAGGTGAAAGCAGATTCCCTAGGAATTTCCTCGAAAATACAGTTCAAAGTTGATGTGGAGACGGGGAAATTGATTATCAAGAAATCAAAGGATGGTCCTGAAGACAAGTTCTATACCCATAATAAAAGTAAGTTGCCCGGGGTCATAAATATTGGGGGAGTTCCCCTGGATCCCCATGGGAATTTTTCATTGACTTCAGTGGGAGCAAAGTTTGGTCCAATGTGCAAATCAGTCTGTTATGCTGAGCGTATTGTTCTACTGCAAGGCACTAGGAACCCGAGATCGCTTGTCTCCAAGGCAGTTTTCAGCAAATGGAAGCCAATGCTGCGGTAAATGGCTCTTTCTGGGTATGTCTACACTACCCCGCTAGTTCGAACTAGCGGGGGTAATGTAGTCATCCGCAGTTGCAAATGAAGCCCGGGATTTGAATTTCCCGGGCTTCATTTGCATGAAGCTGGCCGGCGCCATTTTTAAATGCCGGCTAGTTCGGACCCCAGGCAGTTTTCAGCAAATGGAAGCCAATGCTGCGGTAAATGGCTCTTTCTGGGTATGTCTACACTACCCCGCTAGTTCGAACTAGCGGGGGTAATGTAGTCATCCGCAGTTGCAAATGAAGCCCGGGATTTGAATTTCCCGGGCTTCATTTGCATGAAGCTGGCCGGCGCCATTTTTAAATGCCGGCTAGTTCGGACCCCGTGCCGCGCGACTACACGCAGCACGGACTAGCTAGTTCGGATTAGGCTTCTAATCCGAACTAGCTGTACACCTCGTTCCACGAGGCAGAGATGCAGCGCGGCTGGCGGAAGGATGTTTCCATTGGCCTGGCTGCTGTCACTCGCGGAGGTAGAGTTCCTACAGTGATGGGACGCCCGCTTTTGTCACTGTCTCTTGTGCAGTGCCATAACTCTGCCGCTGTAGCGTCTGCAGGGTGGTCATGGAGGTTGTGTCCTGTGAAGGCCTGCGTTAACGGTTCGCTTTATCCCTGGGGAGGGCCCTGCTCACGTACTGGCTGACAGATTTTCAATAGGGGAAAAGTTCTTTTTCTAATTCCCCTCTGGACTCTACCTCGAAACACCGCAGCGATTAGCAGGGCAGCACTGTCGACTGAGGCTCCATCCACACTAGGAAAAAGACCCATCGCTGCCCCTAGTTGTGAGCAAAACCTCTCCCTCTGATTTCACAGCTGGGGTTGAGAATTGCTTAACTGCTGATCAGTGTTCTCTGTAAGCGGCTACCCAAGAGGGATCAAGGGCTACCAGGCTAATTAGAAGAGCACCCACTGGCAGCATCCTGTGTTTCTATGGGGGTGCACATCCATACGTGTCTCAGTGCACATAAATATTTATTCTGCACATGGCTGGAAAAAATTAGAGGGAGCATTGCTGCTGATCTACATGGGACCAAACCGTCTTCACCATCAGATCAGCTGCCACCTCCCCTTCCACATATGCTCAGAGGAAGGACCATAAATGGCCTGCTTGGGAAGCAGAAAGAAGATGGGCGAGGGTTTGGGCGGAGCCCCAGGTAGGCGGTGCTGTGTGCTCTTGGCGCCAGGGTATAACTGTAGTCCCTGAGGAAAGTCCTTTGCTGACCACACCTGCCTGTTGTTTCTGCTGAGCCATCCCAGCAGCCATCCCAGAGCACCGCCCTGACCAGCCGAGCGGAACTAATCCAAACACTGAGAAACAACCAGACTCGAAAGAGCAGCTTGTCCTGGGGGCTGGTGCACTCAGGGCAAGGAGCTCTCCAGAGTCCCCTAAAGGGCTAGCACCAGCTGCAGCCCCTGCATGCCAGGGACAGTTATTGGAGCTGAAGGGCTGTCGGTGGGGCTGAGGGAAACCTCCTTTGCCGTAAAATGCAGGACAATGTAGCACTTTAAAGACTAACAAGATGGTTTATTAGATGATGAGCTTTCGTGGGCCAGACCCACTTCCTCAGATCAAATAGTGGAAGAAAGTAGTCACAACCATATATACCAAAGGATACAATTAAAAAAAATGAACAAATATGAAATATTTGTTCATTTTTTTTAAATTGTATCCTTTGGTATATATGGTTGTGACTACTTTCTTCCACTATTTGATCTGAGGAAGTGGGTCTGGCCCACGAAAGCTCATCATCTAATAAACCATCTTGTTAGTCTTTAAAGTGCTACATTCTCCTTAGTCCAGGTTGCCTACTTACCTAATTTTCATAATCTAGTTGTTCACCATCAAATATTTTATTATCTCTCCCCTGTACTTGGACTCGGTGGACCATTACACTGCCAATAATTTCCTACATTCTAATCTGAAATAAACAGTCTGCTATAAATCATTAACACTAGAGCTAGTCAAAACTCAGGATTTGTGTTCCACAGGGAAAAATCCTAGAATTTTCTTTTCTCTCAAATTGTTAAAAACAAAAACCCCCACCCCACGATTCTCTGGAAAATTTTGTTCTAGAAATATTAATGTCCTTATCAGTGTTAGACATTGCATGTGGGGACAATAGTTCTGCTCAGGTCGGTTTAAGTATGCTGTTGACTCTGAGTCATAGGAAATGGCTGGAATGAAATATATTGATTCCAATTACTATCATTTTTTGGTGAAGTTGGACAAACGTAAAACTGCTGCCGTGGGTTCCCGCAGCAGAGGGGAGGCTGCGGGACGAGGGCCAGTGACACCCAGTCTCTGCTTAGTCCTGCAGCTCATCAAGTCCCAGAAGTTCCCGAACAAACTGGTGATCGTGCTGGAGACCGAGAAAGAGAAAATGCAGCGGAAAGAATACGTGTTCGCTGACTCCAAGGTACAGGGCACTGCCTCTCCGCACTGTATCCCTGCAGCACCAGCCAGGGCCTCAGGCCAGTGGAGGGCTTACGGGATTTGAACGTGCTCGGCACAAGTGAGGTTGGTTGTATAATGGGGGAGCATCCAGCAAATGCAAGAGAGACTGGATCATATGTGCAGCAACTGGTGCAAGATTCAGGACCCTCCCTAGGGGGACGCAGGGCCTGGGGCAACATGCCCCGCCCCATCCCACCTCTGCTCCACCCCTTCCCACAAGCCCCACCTGGCCACACTCCTTCCAGCCCTGTTCCACCTTTTTTCCTCCTCCCCCACGTGGCTCAAGACAGGGGATCCCTAGAGGCCTAACATGGGGTGGCAGCAAGGGCCCCGCCCCCACTTACCATAGTAGCAGGAGCTGGAGTGGCCTGGCAGCCTGCTCCATTCTGCCCCAACCCATGCACCTCGCGACTCCGTGGTGGCAGCAGCAGGGCTCCCTAGACCTGTCCATAGCATGGTGTAGGCAGCCGCTGAGGGGCCCCCCAAGTGCAGCCTTGGCCCGGCTCTGGCACTCCTCAGCCCTGCTAGACCTGCGCACTTGGGAAAGGGAAGGAGGCAGACGAGGGCTGCACCATTCCCTGGCTGCTCCTTGGCTGGCAAAGGCAGTGATACCTGAATCACTCGCGGGCCTGGAAGCCCGCCGGGACCGGGATTAGATGAGGAGATCAGGGTGAGAGGTAGCACCAGCTTGCTTACATGTTTGGAAACGCCAGTGTAGACAAGTCGCGCTGCCTTTCCCTTGGGCTCGGAGCAAGTCAGACCTTTCCTGGCCAGCATGACCCAGGGCAGAGCAGAGCGCTGCCTCGTCTACACTCCTTTCTCCTAAGAGGGGCCATAAGCCAAGCACCCTCCCTGCAGGCGAGATGAGATCAGGCTGATCTGCCCTTTCGATATCGTGGGCACTTCCCTGGCCGGGCAGTTCTTCTTTCAGAGGAAGCGGGGCGGGTTCCTGCCACCGTCCTCTCACCAGCTGTCTGTTTCTTCTGGTGTAGAAAAGAGAAGGGTTCTGCCAGCTCCTGCAGCAGATGAAGAATAAACACTCCGAGCAGCCAGAGCCAGACATGATCACCATCTTCATCGGCACCTGGAACATGGGTACGTTGCTCCCTTCTCGATTCACCCAAGTCTTATGCCCCCCACTCCCAGCGGCTCTCCATCCTTGGAGCCAGCTTTGGAACGTCCCAGCCTCGAACTGAGGAGCCAGTGACAGCTGCTGCCAGTGGCCCCCCCCAGCAGCTGGAAGGCACC